CTCGGTTTTAATCCTGAGCTAACCTTGAACTCCTGTTTATTTAGAATTATCCTTAGATTTGCATGGGTGAGAGTGGCTCTAGTTCGCCGATTCAATAGGCTTCCCATTTCAGGGGTAAGACTGGGTGAATGGCTGGGGACGTGGGGTGCAAGATGGAATTCTCTCCTACCCACTTTTAGGGATAGAAGAGAGGTAGTTTCCTTAAGCACTGACTCTAGGTCTTGAACATGGGGCCCCACCCTCTCATTAGCCAGAGAGGGATTCGGTTTACTGGTTGGACCACAAACCAATTGTTCATTAGAGGATGAGTGAGCATAAGGAACAAGAAGTAACTTTAGGGGTAAAACGGTAAATTAACCAAGCTCTAGTTACGAACAACCTGTGAAGGATCGACTTACTAATCATGGTTATATCAAATGGACAGAAATATATCTATAGTGAGGGGAGTGCAACTACTAGGCTATAGTGGAATGTCCTAGTAGTTAACGAATGTTGGTTAACAAGGTTAATGAGTTTAGCTAGTTAATCTTTGATCGTTGGAGCCCATGATCTATAGGTCCATTAGGTCCCTCTGCTAGCTCATATCAAACTAAACCATAAAACAGTGTGACGAGTGAGTTCAAAGTGTTCGAATTTAAATTAGGGAATATGCGTTACATATATACGATATATTTAACCGCATTTTTGTTTTATTTACGAATTAAATAAAAAGAGAGAATCTGAGATATTTAAATAAGATTTAAATATCTTAATCAATTATGTGTCAGGATTGATTGGGATTGGCAAATGAATTAATATTAAATATTAATTAAATAGTTTAATTAATCATTTAATGTTACTTTAATTTGAAATTCATTATTCAAATTAATTGTTGAATTAAAATGAAGAAAGTCAAAATGTTGACTTCATTTAATGGAAAAATCCATGCTAGTGGAATTTTGAGGTGTCAAAATTTGGTTTAACCAAACTTGCATGCTTGCCGAATAAACCCCACAAGTTTGAGTGGAATTTTGAGTGTCAAAATTTGGTGATCTCAAATTTGCATAAACATGCAAACATGACTCTTTAAATAGAGTGATCATGGTACATGGAACGTCTTCTTCTTGGTGAAAAACCTTGAGAAAAACCTCTCCCTAACACTCTCTTCACATACACAAAATTCCTCCCAAGTTTAGTCACTCACCGGATTCCACAATCCCGTTCTAAGGCCGGAGGATAGTGGAGAAGACACTAGTGGTGGTTCGAAACCGGTTCGTGAGGAAAAAGGAGTTTGAACTACAAAAGGTTAGTATTTAAACTCATTAAGTTTTAATACTTATGAACATGCTAGTTATTTATTATAATTGATGTTCTAAAAGTGCCTAAGATCCAAATTGCTTCCGCATGTGTTATATTAACACCATCAAGTATATCTTAATTACTATTGAGTTATGTGCAGTAGAGCCAATCGCCGTCGTGGGTCTCTCGATTTGGAGGCCGGAACATCGTGATTGGTTTTTCGCATCTCGACCGTGGGCATTTATTCCCGTTGACTTCAAACAGAAAGTACATAATCTCAGAGGACAACAAGCAGAAAGTACTTAATCTCAAACTAGACAGTACATATCAGTGTAGAGATGGATGGTTCCTAAAACTTGGTAATTCTCCATTTATTTTTGCAGTATTGGTAAGAAAGCACATAATATCATACCATTACGAAGATATTGTCCACTTTGAGTTCACCTCAATGGACCCATGATCGTTCCCTAAATTCGCCGAGTGGGACTTTGATCCAAGTCCACTTTGAGTTCACCCCAATGGACCCATGATCATTCCCTAAATTCGCCGAGTGGGACTTTCATCCAACTCCTCCCCTCGACTCCTTTTCTTTTCCTTTTTCTTTTGGAGGCCTTTGTTCGACATTTGAGTATTCTATTGACATGGCTAAGTTTTGGGCATGTCTAAGTTTAGTGGTAGAGTGTGGTAGAGTCGGCTAGTGGCTAACCCAATTGACTCACTTGGTTGCACTACGATTAGTCTGACGTGATCCATTAAACTTTCCATTCTACCCCATAAAAATGCTATAACCAAATGCTATGAATGAAGCAATTTGTTGTAACCAAATGCTATGAATGAAGCAATTTGTTGTAACCAAATGCTATGAATGAAGCAATTTGTTGTAGTGAATAATAACCTAAAGAATTTATAGTATATGGATAAGGTTGAGTGTCTTATCCTCAACACTATTGATACGTTATAAGTGATTTGATTTAATTCAAATCGTTTATGTGGAGACATGTGAGTAGGGGTATCCATTACAATTAGTTTGTATAAGAGTGGATTACGAAATATTTAATCTCTCTTTCTAGATCCATTAATTAAAAGGATTAATATTTCATATAATGATCATATGAGCCTGGACAGTGAGTTATGAACTCTTAAACTTGTCTTTTGATCCACATGAGTGAGAATGACTTATGTAGCTGATTCAATATGCCTACCATTTTGGGACTTACCAAACAGAGACAAATAGAGACAAATAGAGAAATGGAAACATAATTTCACGAGATTAAACAATGGGCCCCTCTCACTAGCCCAAAAGGGAATTGTTTTATAGTAGTAAAATGGACAACTCATCTGCAACGTTATCGAAACTATTGCAAAACTATTCGTTTGATTTTCAAACTACTTAAAAATAGTTAATTTTGCTTGTTATTATTGTTGTTGGTGCTGCTGTTATGCTTAACTGACTATTTCGCTTGATTGACCTTATCCTCCCCATCGTCGATTAGTATTCCTTCATCCTGGAATTACCTTGTACGTGAAAGAAGATCCTCTTTAAAGAAGAAAACAAAGAAAGCCCCGAAATGGGCTATAAAAGCTGGTAAAGATTCCTTTGACTTATGTGGTTTTGTTCCATAGTTCACTTAGGTTCAATTGGACCAATCTAATTCAAACAAAAAATGAAAATTAATGAAATAAGCTTTTGACCTAGCTGCAATTACAAACAACCCATGAAGGATCGATGAACACAACTTGTCCTCGGTGCCTAAGAATAAAATTCTAGATTTTTTGTAGAGTAGTCTATAGTTAATAAATGAAAATTAATTATTAAAATATTTAATTAATTTATTTTATATGATTAAAACTTATAATCATTAAGTCCATCTGACCTAATATACTAAAATGATCCATTTAGTTGAAAAAGAAACTATTTAAATTAATATTTAATATATTAGATATATTAAATAAAAATATATTAGATATATTTGAAATTGAAATGAGATTCAAATTAGTTCCATACATATTACAATATCTTATTACATTTGATATTATTTAAATAAGATATTATGTTCTAATATATTAAATATTTAAATATATTGCTTCACAAATATTTAAATATATTGCTTCACAAATATTGTAACGTCTTTAGATTTCTGTTTATCTAGAGTTGTTACCATCATTGTAACGTAATCATTTTGTGCGACAATAAGCATTTAAACTTCATCATGAAACACAACTTCATCTTAAAACAATGTCATGGACTTATGTGTTCGAAAACCTGTTTAAAACGACACAACAAAATACTAAATGAAATATATAAATATTAAAAAAAGCAAATACTCTATTCTAACCTAAGTCTAAGAAATTAAATATAACTACCTTATTCCTGTGCCATGGTCTCGAGTTAAGATGTCATCGTTAGTCGTACAAGATTGTCTTGCATTTACCTGAAAAGGAACCTAAAACAGCTTTGCCACCATCCAATAAAGAAACGTCTACAATATAAGTAACACGTGGCTTGAGTATTTTAAGAAATATTCAGTGAGTGACCCCACTATTGGGGTTAGATGCAAGCACATACAATTATGAGTGAGACCTATCATATCAGTCTATATTTCTTATGTGACTATCCTAAACATGTTAATTAGATATGTATTCACTGTTCTACACACGACGCACACGTGCGAGTATTGACCCCATTAGTTGATTCGCACACCTCCTAAGCCCCCTTTCATAGTTGGGCGAGCATTCTTTGGGAATTATTGTTTTCGGGCACCCGTTAGAAATAGCGACCGTCAAAGCATTATAATGAATATAATGATCATTTTCCTACCTCGTAGTGTACGCATCCATACCATCATAAAAGAGGGGTATTTCCCCGATGCATGAACACACAATGATGCATGAGGTCCCAATATTTTTAATCATTGTCATGTAAGACAACACCTCTCATTTTCTTTCATATCATGTTATTTTCATCCTAGCTTTCCATGCATAAATTGAGGTTGTGCACCGTATCGACACATCTTGTCTTATATCATTCATATCATGCATCGTGTCGCATCGTGTCATATCATACATATCTCATATCATCAACATATCATGTAACATCATATACTATATCGTCAAACGTGTTACAACATAACCTTTATCATATCATCAATACATCACATCAAAACACATGTCATAACATTCACGTATCATCTCATGGTCCCATTGTTTCATAGACCTATTATGGATTTATCCTTTCATATCATTTCATAAATATATCATAGTCATATCGTTTCATATACATATCATAATCGTATCTTTCATAAATATATCATAGTCATATTGTTTCATAAATATATCATAGTCATATTGTTTTATAAACATATCATACTCATATCGTTCCATAAACATATCATAGTCATATGTCAAGCATATAACACGTGCAAACTAGGGGCACGTGTCTTCATACAAACATTAATTCCTAACTGTATCGATAGTAAGGTCACTTACTTTGTTGACCTTAGTCGACGTTCTCCCTAAACTCGAGTATGTTTGTATTCCATCCCTCGAAGTTGTTCCAAATATCGTCGAGAGTTATTTCCTATTAGAACATTCATCTCGTTTCGTTAGTAGTACGAATTTCTTATCTCAATTTAACTTATATTGAGAAAACGGACCTTATACTGATCTTAATCATCTTAGATAAGGTCGTATTACGAATGATCGAGTAATTGATATCAAAATGTCTATACCAAGCTGAATGGTCGAGTTTTGGGTCCAAAAGTTGCACCAACTGAGCCGAGCTGCATTGAATTGACTGAGCCGAAGAACTCGGCATCAGCTTCCCTGACACATGTAACTGTGGGGAGAAGACGTGATAAGGCAACCCTAATTCTCAATCCAACTATCCCAGGTTTTGTTAAAGCAAGAACCTTTAATCAAAGAAATTAATAAACCTTATACAAACTTAGAATCAACCGTATATAAAGGCTAAAATTAAGTTAAATATCTATCATCAAGATTTGTAACCTTTTCTAAATTCGGCCGTTTCACAATTCAATTTGAAAGGTTTGATTGAATAACTGAAATGCAATCATAAGACATGCATGTAACTTAGAAATTAAAAAAATAATACTCAAATTTTCAAGGATACAGTCTTAATTTGAGCACTAAATTTCATTCACCAAAATCTATTTTTTACATAATAATTTTTGGGTATTTATAGTCTCCTCGCAAAAGTAGAGTAAATAAGTTAGTCACCCTTCAAATGTGAGTAAAGAAGTTAGTCACCATAATTTATTCCCACCCCTCTAAATCTCAAAAAAAAAAATAATAACAATAATAAATAAATAAAATAAAATAAAAATAAATAAATAAATATGATTTTGACAACTAACTTCCCACCTTTTTGTAACCGCAGTAAATTAAGAAATTAAAAATAATAAATAAAATTTTCTAACACATTATCCATGAAGAATGATAAGTCACTTTGACAACTAACTTCCCACCCCTATAACAACTTCATCAGCTACTTCAACCGGGCAAATATTCACTTCCGAAGCTTCAAATGGTCATTCCTAAATCGAATCAACTTGTAACACATGAAATAATGGTTGAACCGAGCCTATCCAATTTTGTAAATGAAGAATGAATTTTTGTTGAATCTTCATGGTCTTAGATCGTGTAATAGGTCCAATTGGAACATTTGGAACATCGTGATTTTTATCATCTTCCCCTCTTCAAAAGGATTCGTCATCTAATCAGTTAAATCATCACCTACATCAAAAGGACTCTAGTCAGCAACATTGAAAGTAGAATGTACTGGAAATTCTCCAGAAAGATCAATTTTATAGGCATGGTTATTAATTATTTAAGAACTTAATAAATGTCATCCCCTCTTTTCGTCTTCGGTGTGGGTATCATATTGCAGCGGAGTTAATCGCCGTCGTCGTGGGTCTCCCGATTTGGAGGCCGAAAACAACGTGACTGGTTTTCTGCATCTCCGCCGAGGGCATTTCTTCCGGGTGACTTGGTACAGCAATTGGCTAGTGGCTGATGCTCTCAGTGTTAAAGACGGTTCGGAAATGATCATAGATTTATGACTAAAGAATACATTTTCATTAACATGACTTCTTGTGGGCGCTTGAAGCAAACCCATGATGTTATGTTCAAAGTGGACAAATATCATATAACATTGTAGAGATTCGTGATTAGTAACATGGTATCAAACTATGAACTTAACTTAGCTATGTCGAACAAAAAAGTTGTAAGCCTAAAAATCGTAGTCAAACGTGTCGAACAAATTGTGTATTTTGTTCAAGATCTTTGAAGAAAGAAGTCGAGTCTCGATTAAAGGGAGTTTCTTTTAGAAATCCATAGGCTTCAAGGGAGGCTCTATGGTGTATTTTGTTCGAGGGGAGGCTCTATGATCATAGGTAATCTATAGGCTTCAAAGGTGGCTTTATGTGGTGTACTTAATGAGAGGCAAGACTCTATGATGATGAGTTTATAAGTAAGGAAGTCAAAACAAAGTCATAAGAGTTTATGCTCTAGACAATATAATACTATTGTAGACAATATTGTAGCTTTATTTCAATAAATAAATTCATGATTCTCTCACAAACTTTATTACAATTCATAAAATTTTTAAAATCAAATCTCTTCATACCACCCAAGAATTATAAGGCTTTTCCCCAATATAGTTGCCAGGAGGATCATAATTGCAAACAACAAACTGAGAATTAGCCTTGCAGGGTACTCTAGCACATCCAAGCCGCACCGAGCTCCGCCACACCATCTGAGTGTAGTGCCCACATTCACCACCCACGCATTTATTCGACGCATGATCATACAGCGGCTTCTCGTTCACCCACAGCTTCACTGCATCTGCCCCAGTAAACTTAGGGTAGTAGCCCGCGGCTATGTTTTCCCCGTACGGCCCGGTTGAGTGAATCATGGCGCAGTCACCCTTTCTTTTTTTTGCATAGGCTTGAGCGTACGCGGCCACGGTGTTGCTCCATTGCATGGGGCCGACGCCGACCTGGGCTCGAGCTCGGTTGTGAAGCGCGAGGTAGTCACCGGGGGCGTTTTGAGCGTTGGTTAGGGCGAGGAGGAAAATGAAAGTGGCAATGAAAGCGACCATGATCGGTAGGGTTTGAGTCCACATAATTTCAATGAGAGATGAGATGAAGATTGAGAATGAGGGAATGATGTATATAGAGATGGAAAACTTAATATGGAATGTGAGGGAGAAAACCATGAATTATTAACTAATTATGCCATGCTTGGGAATTCAAAGAGAATAAATTCATTCTCGCTTCCATGTTTAATTACGAGCTAGATTTTTGTTTTGATTAAGTTCAAATAAGTGAAAATTTTCTAGATTTAGCTAGTTTATGAATTTTTTTTAGGATTAATGAAACTTAATCCACCTGATTATGGTTAATATTAAAAGATACATTTTTACTTGTAGGTATATATTTATTGTTTTATTTAGTTTTATAATTTTATTTATTTATTCTTCTCCAATTTTTTAAAATATATATTAAAATTGAATTGGTTAATTACATGTTCAAAAATAAGTAAATAATGTTAATATTTTCTTAAAATTCTGAAGGAAGGAGCAATAATAGGGAGAAGCATAAAGCAAGGTTGCATTGCTGATTCCACCATGGAGGCTGAGTATGTTGCTGCTTGTGAAGCAACGAAAGAATCTGTATGGCTTAGGAAGTTCTTAACTGATTTGGAAGTCGTTCCAAATATGCATCTTCCCGTCACTCTTTATTGTGATAACAGTGGAGCAGTTGCAAATTCAAAAGAACCAAGAAACCGTAAGCGAGGAAAACATATTGAGCGCAAATATCGTCTCATAAGGGAGATTGTGCAACGAGGAGATGTGATCGTCACACAAATAGCTTCAGAGCACAACATTGCTGATTCATTTACAAAGCCCCTTACGGCTGAAGTGTTTGAAGGGCACCTAGTGAGTTTAGAACTACGAGTTATGTAATCTAGGGCAAGTGAGAGAAAAGGCATGAGTATGTGATGCCCTAGTTTATTGTATTTCTCTCCTACTCAACGTTATAAAACCTCACTAGAGTTTTAGTCCAAGTGGGAGTTTGTTGGGTTTTATGTCCTAAAACTCATTGTTTGTAAACAAAAACATATTCTATTTTCAATAAAGTTATTATTGTTGTTTATTTAGTAAAGATTGTTATTGAATAAAGTGAACTTTACGATCATTAATCTAAATCCAATAAACTTAGAACACTCTGGCTATAGTATGATTACTTGAACTATATGTAGAGACATAACAATGTGATCACTAATAGTATGATTACTTGAACTATATGTAGAGACATAAGAGTGGATCAAGTTCAAGTATATAATCAAAATGATCTATAGTATAAGGATAAGGCTGAGTACCTTATTCTGGGGACACTATGGATGCTGCCCACTTTTGTATATGATATAAACAATGTGATCATTAAATTGTACATGTGGAGACATGTGAGTGGGGGCGTCCTATGCAACGAGTATTTCATAAGATCAGACCATAAAGAAAACCACTCTCACTTTATAATGTCGTTTACTGTTGAGACTGATTTTCTTTTCATTCGATAACCTAGGTAACTCAGTTTTAATCCTGAACTAACCATGAACTCTTGTTTATTCGGAATTATCCTTAGATTTTAATGGGTGAGAGTGGCTCTAGTTCGTCATTCAATAGGCTTCCCATTTCAGGGGTAAGACTGGGTGAATGGCTGGGGACGTGGGGTGCAAGATGGAACTCACTCCTACCCACTTTTAGGGATAGAAGAGAGGTAGTTTCCTTAAGCACTGACTCTAGGTCTTGAACAAGGGGCCCCACCCTCTCATTAGCCTGAGAGGGATTCGGTTTACTGGTTGGACCACAAACCAATTGTTCATTAGAGGATCAGTGAGACATGAGGAACAAGAAGTAACTTTAGGGGTAAAACGGTAAATTGACCAAGCTCTAGTTACGAACAACCTGTGAAGGATCGACTTACTAATCATGGTTATATAAAATGGACAGAAATATATCTATAGTGAGGGGAGTGCAACTACTAGGCTATAGTGGAATGTCCTAGTAGTTAACGAATGTTGGTTAACAAGGTTAATGAGTTTAGCCGGTTAATCTTGGATCGTTGGAGCCCATGATCTATAGGTCCATTAGGTCCCTCTGCTAGCTCATATCGGACTAAACCATAAAACAGTGTGACGAGTGAGTTCGAAGTGTTCGAATTTAAATTAGGGAATACGCGTTACATATATACGATATATTTAACCGCATTTTTGTTTTATTGACGACTTAACAAAAAGAGAGAATCTGAGATATTTAAATAAGATTTAAATATCTTAATCAATTATGTGTCATGATTGATTGGGATTGGCAAATGAATTAATATTAAATATTAATTAAATAGTTTAATTAATCATTTAATGTTACTTTAATTTGAAATTCATTATTCAAATTAATTGTTGAATTAAAATGAAGAAAATCAAAATGTTGACTTCATCTAATCGAAAAAACCATGTTAGTGGAATTTTGAGGTGTCAAAATTTGGTTTAACCAAACTTGCATGCTTGCCGAATAAACCCCACAAATTTGAGTGGAATTTTGAGGGTCAAAATTTGGTTAACTCAAACATGCATGCTTGCCACTAATCCCAAACATTTGAGTGGAATTTTAAGTGTCAAAATTGGGTGATCTCAAATTTGCATGAACATGCAAACATGACTCTTTAAATAGAGTGATCATGATACATGGGAGGTCTTCTTTATCTTGGTGAAAAACCTTGAGAAAAACCTCTCACAAACACTCTCTTCACATATACAAAATTCCTCCCAAGTTTAGTCACTCAATGGATTCCACAATCCCGTTCTAAGGCCAGAGGATAGTGGAGAAGACACTAGTGGTGGTTCGAAACCGGTTCGTGAAGAAAAAGGAGTTTGAACTACAAAAGGTTAGTATTTAAACTCATTAAGTTTTATTACTTATGAACATGCTAGTTATTTATTATAATTGATGTTCTAAAAGTGCCTAAGATCCAAATTGCTTCCGCATGTGTTATTAACACCATCAAGTATATCTTAATTACTATTGAGTTATGTGCAGCAGAGCCAATCGCCGTCGTGGGTCTCCTGATTTAGAGGCCGAAACATTGTGACTGGTTTTTCGCATCTCGGCCGTGGGCATTTATTCCCGTTGACTTCAAACAACATTTGACAGCTATTCTGGGAGCTATTCTCCATGTGTAAAAATTTTAAGAGAGAGTCTTTAAGAAATGATCATGAATTTATAAGTAAGGAATAATCTCACAGGACAACAAGCAGAAAGTACTTAATCTCAAACTAGACAGTATCATATCAGTGTAGAGATGGATGGTTCCTAAAACTTGGTAATTCTCCATTTATTTTTGCAGTATTGGTAAGAAAGCACATAATATCATACCATTACGAAGATATTGTCCACTTTGAGTTCACCTCAATGGACCCATGATCGTTCCCTAAATTCGCCGAGTGGGACTTTGTCCAAGTCCACTTTGAGTTCACCCCAATGGACCCATGATCATTCCCTAAATTCGTTGAGTGGGACTTTCATCCAACACCTCCCCTCGACTCCTTTTCTTTTCCGTTTTCTTTTGGAGTCGTTTGTTCGACATTTGAGTATTCTATTGACATGGCTAAGTTTAGGGCATGGCTAAGTTTAGTGGTAGAGTGTGGTAGAGTCGGCTAGTGGCTAACCCAATTGACTCACTTGGTTGCACTACGATTAGTCTGACGTGATCCATTAAACTTTCCATTCTAGCCCATAAATTCATCATTTTTAAAATAGAAGTTGAATAGGTTAAATTTTTATATTAAAAAGTGTTAGTTTTTTAAAATTTGGAGACTTATTAGACACTTTTAAAATAACAAATTGTTAAACATTTTCTTATCCTACTCTTTTCAAAGTTTATGAATATGTATGTTTTTGTTAAAGTTTAGGTTGGGACAGTGGGCCTTTGTCTCCGGTGTGGGTCTCATAGTGCAGCGGAGTTAAATGCCGCCGTGCATCTCTCGATTTGGAGTTCAAAAACACCATGGACTGGTTTTTCACATCTCTGTCGAGGGCATTTCTTTCGAGTGACTTAGAACAGGAATTGGCTGGTGGCTGGTGTTCTCAGTATTGAAGATTGTTCGGAAATGATCGGAGATTTATAAGTAAAGAATACATCTCTAGGAGCCCGAAGCAAACCTATGAGAAAATCTCATGTTCAAAGTGGACAAATATCATATACCATTGTAGAGATTCGTGATTCTTAACATGGTTATCAGACCATGAACTTAACTTAGCTGTGTCGAACAAAGAAATTGATAGCCTCAAAATTGTAGTCAAAAGTGTCGAACAAAGGGTGTATTTTGTTCAAAGGCTCCAAAGAAAGTAGTCGAGCCTCAATTAAGGGAAGGCTGTTCTAGAAATCTACTGGCTTCAAGGGTGGCTCTATGATGTACTTAATTAGAGGGGAGACTCTATGATCATGGGTTTATAGGCGAGGAGGTCAAAACAAAGTCACAAGAGTTAACTCAAGGAGGTTAAAACAAAGTCACTAGAGTTAACTCAAACAAGACAATATAATACTATTATAGACAATACCATAGCTTTATTTCAATTCATAAATTCATGATTCTCTCATAAACTTTATTACCATTCATAAAATTTTTAAAACCAAATCTCTTCAAACCACCAAAGAATCATAAGGCTTTTCCCCAATATAGTTGCCAGGAGGATCGTAATTGCAAACAACAAACTGAGAATTAGCCTTACAAGGCACTCTAGCACATCCAAGTCGGACTGAGCTTCGCCACACCATCTGAGTGTAGTGCCCACATTCACCACCCACGCATTTATTCGACGCATGATCATACAACGGCTTCTCGTTCGCCCACAGCTTCACCGCATCCGCCCCGGTGAACTCAGGGTAGTACCCAGCGGCTATGTTTTCCCCGTATGGCCCGGTTGAGTGAATCATGGCGCAGTCACCCTTTCATTTTTCCGCATAGGCTTGAGCGTACGCGGCCACGGTATTGCTCCATTGCATGGGGCCAACGCCGACCTGGGCTCGAGCGCGGTTGTGAAGCGCGAGATAGTCACCGAGAGCG